AGATGCTCCTGGCATGTTCTAATGATTCAGCAAAATTTTCGGATATTCATAAAACATCCCTGGAAAACACCGCAAAGTTCCAAAAATTTTCGGAAAATTCCTGAAATGCACTTAGGAATATTTAAGGGAATATCCCATTGAAAGTTCTTTGCATTTATCCTGAAGTTAATGGGGCAGTTTTGTAGTATACTAGACCCTCTCTAATGCACACCAGTCAGGTCGGAATGACGTTTTCCTACACCATTCGAAGGTTGTGTAGGAAGGATGATTTGCAGGTTGGATGAAAATGTTTTAATGCCCATTTTCATGAATTTACTATGCAGTTTGTTAACATAATTATCATCATGCAATGGCGACAATTGCGGCAATCTTCCAATTGATTTCGTTAACTTTGAAAAATATAACGGTTTTTTTTAAATCTGAAATCTGAAAGAAGTATCACATCACATCAAGATTTAAAGCAAAATAACAACTTCTCTGTTTGACACTAAACTAACAAATTGACAGCTCGCTCGCATGTAAGGTCCCACCGAAGGGCGCTATGATGGTGATTTTTGCTTATGTAATCGCACTCATTTAAAATAGTTCCAGTTCACCAACATTTATGACATTTAGGATTCCAGTTCAATTTTTAATGCAAATTACGAATATTCATTTACCTAAAGAACCCAATAGCGCAGGAAAAGGAAAGAAAACCAAGAAGAAATAAGTTGCCATTTGCGGCACTATTTTACTTACGCACAGCGTTTCCATTTTGGCTTAATCACTCCTCTCCACACCCGGTCGTTGCTATCAGAGTCATAATTTAAGTTACCGTTTTCCACACCGGCAAAACAAACTTTTGGCGTTTATTCAAAATAGCAACCGTCTGATGCGTTGCTACCGGGTTGCTAAATTTATGAACTCACTATACTTCCCAAGGTGCGGATTGCTATTTCCCCAACCTGAATAGCAACCCCCGGTACGCAAGTAGCGTTATGTTAGAGGTTGGTAAATGTGCCTTATTTACTCATTGGAACACACCAACAATTGATCAAACATTTCAGCAAAATGGTTTACTGAAAAGCAATCAGCAATCGAGTCAGCAATCTACGATATTACTGAAAATCAGCAATTTGGTTCGTTTCAACTGAAAACCAGCAACTTGACAAGCTTGCTGAAAATTCAGCATATTTCATCGTCTCGTTTTCACTCTGTCAAAATAAGAAAAAAAAAGCCGCCAATGTTATTGTTTTTCGACTACGCTGAGTGCAGTGCGCGTGTGGTTTTTGAGTAATTATTCTGCAACAAATTAAGTGCGTAATGGATCCTGAAGTTCAGGAAGCTCTGCTGAATCTGAAAGCTGACCGTTGTGACGTGGAGGAGTTGTTTGGTAAGTAAAATAGTTAAATATAATCTTGTGTTTTCTTCAGCCTCGAGAGCCCGAACACCTGACACCCTGAAGTATTTCTTCTGCCATCAGTTCGTTGAGAGATATATTGATGGACTTCGACGACACCTAAAAGTGCACGAGAATAAACATCATTTTGATAAGGAGCTTGTGCACTTCACATGCACTAAAAAAGGTTGCAGGATGAGCTACCGGAAGATCAGTAGTCTGAAGCAGCATATCATCAAAAAGCATCAGATAAGGGCACCAGATTTCCACCAACAACAGCAACCAAAATGTTGAAACGATTTATGATACGGTTTCCATTGAATTTGTTTAAATAAATCAAAATGATTAAAATCAACCGAAATTAATTTTGTTTTGAATAAACCAGTATGATTAAAACTAAAAAGCTGCTTTTTCGGTACAATGATAATATTGCTGAATTTTATCAGCAAAGTGCTGTCAAATGATGCGATTGCCGAATTAGCTGAATTTTCAGCAAATCTATTAAATATGCTGATAATTCAGTAAACCTCTGTCAAGCAGAATGACGTTTCACATTGCTGAAAATTTCAGTAATTCTTATAGCTGAAATTTCAGCTCGGCAAAATTCAGCAAAAAATTGCTGATTTCGAGCGATAAAAATTACACACCAAATTTAAATTTTGAGTTTCAGCAAAACAGTTTGCTGAAATAGGTTCAGCATAATAATATTTTACTGGAATTCAGAATTAGCATTTTTGGCATTGCCGACATCCAGCAAACAGACGAATGTCAGAGTATTTGCTGATAATCAGTAAACCGAACTTCCTGTCTACTTAAATGACAGTCGGGAAAAGCTTGCCTACACTATCTACTTCAAATTTAATTTTTCATTGACGTTTTTTCGTTGCCGTGCTTCCAGGCACGGTACGTATTTGTTTTTTTACTGTGAGATATTATAAAGTTTCGTGTATACATGGAGCAAGCAATGAAAATTTAAGCGATAGACAACTGGGATGCCGAGAATTGTATTGTAAGTTGATTTATAGCTAAAAAATTATGTTTTTGCAGGCGCTCCAGTGTTCTTTTTTGCAAGCATATAATTGGAGGATAGTAGGAAAGTTGATTTTCTTGCAATTATGATTTGCTGCATCGTACTTTAAAACGTGTTTTTTGTGTGATTGTGATTTAAAAAAAATACAGTAATTTGACAGCTGGTTCCGAACTATGAAGCTGAAACTTGCTGAAGAATCAGTAGAAACGGATATAAATAAATTTACTGTTGTTTCAGTAATATTTCGTAAAAATTTGCTGGAAAACCAGTTAAACGCTGTCATTAACATTTGTGCTGCAGCTTCAGCAATACATAACAGATTTACTGAAAATTCAGTAAAACGTTGTCATTTTGACAGAAGTTCGGATTGCTGGAAGTTTCAGCAACATTATTTTGCTGGAAGGTTTGCTGATCTTTCGTCAAGTCCAAAATCAGCAAAATTCTGCTGATTTCCAGTGATTTAAATTTGGTGTGTATCACTCAAAAATAATACAACTCGTTAATAGATTAAAAAATAAACATTTTTTAAATTCACCGGTTGTATACGCTCCATAGATTAAATTTTTACACTATCATAACTTAAACTTTATACCAAGTATGAATAGCAGTCAAAAAGCCTTCCCAAAGTATTAATGTCTAGGGTGATTATTTCTTACCACACCTAGATTAGTCGTGCTGCAAGCGGTAGGTGGGTAGGTGGCGCGTTTTGTTTTTTTGTTTTTACCGTGGTCCAAGCTGGCGGTCATTAGTGCATATTATGGAAATTGTGTCGATTAGACTGGAACTGGTGGAAAATCTGACCATTACGTGGAATCCGTGGATTGAGTTTCATGGTGTTTCACAAAAAGTGGCGCATTCGGGTGCTCTACCGCTGTCTGGTAGGTTTACTTACATTTGTTAGGTTGTGAATGATTAGCTAATGGGAAATTTATTTCAGCTGCTGACGTCGAATTTGGTCCATCATGGGGAAGACGAGGAGGGAATCTTCGGATTCATGGAGGAGGACATCAGGAATGAGGAAGCTCGTATCCGAGGACAAAAGTGCTACATCTGCAAGGAGCGGTATGCTACCGTTACTTGCTGCGTAGAGCAGTGCTTCTGTAAATTTCATACGCTCTGTGGGATGCGGAAAAGGTGCCTGTTGCATACGTGCGATCCATGGATACGTTCCAGTCGTGGTGCGATAAGCTCGTAGCGCTGGTGGATAAGGTGAAATACTCTGAGACCGAGGCCGGTGGGATTTGCAACGATGAGATGGGACCTACAGGAAGCTGGAATCGATTCGTGCCCCGTGCTGTCCGAATGGCTGGTTCCATCGGAGCTGCGTGGCACAGCTTCCCCATTCGGCGGGGTACTTTCTCAAGTGCCCTTTGTGCAGCAACAAGGACGACTTTAGCCAGGAGATGCAGCAGCGTATGATTTATATACCGGAAAAGTAAGTGAGGCGGAGGTGGGTGAATCGGTATTGGAATACTGAATATTTTTCATTTGTTCTAGGGATGCCTCGTGGGAGCTGGTAACTGGTCAAGAAGATTTGACTGCCACGAGGGGCTTCCGTCGAAAAGTTGCTTCGAGCCATACCGGTCGTAAGGCTCGAGAAGCTCAGCTCGAAAAAGATCAAATCGTTGACTTCTCCGAAGAATGAAGTATCCTCCGCCGGATTATCGACCGTGTTCGATTTCAACTATCGTGTGAAGTTGAACAAAAAGCAGCGTCGAAAATCGATGGTAGAATTGCAGTCGATCAAGGAGGTCATCCGTTCCGCAACGGATATGCTAACGGATGCCTCGGCGGAACAGGAGATCGTACGTACCAAAACGCCTGCCCAGAAATCCTTTGCCAAGCAGTTCAAACTAAAGCTTCTCGGGTCCAAATCCGAACCAAGAAAACGGTCGACCAGAGAGTCTGATCCGGAGCACGATTGCAAAAGATTTGATTGCTTCACCAAGGTTTTCACTTTTCTAAGAAAATAAATTATACATTGTTTGAATTTATTGCTTTTCAATCAATAAAAATACCAAAATTAAAAGGACAGTGATCAAATACATTGTATAGATAATCCACCGGTAAACTACGCATGAATATTCAAAAGATAAACTATACCCCTTATACTTCAAGTTTATACTGGGCTCGTTTTGTTGGCAACTAAACGAAGCCTGGGGTCAACCAGGTGAATAGCGTTTTATACCCCGTTCACATTACAGCGTATATCACGTGATATACGCTGTCTTGCAATGAGCACTCATACATCTAGTTTTCACTGGAAATCCTATGTATGAGTGCTCATTGCAAGACAGCCTATATTACGTGATATAGGCTGTAATGTGAACGGGGTATTAGTGTGATTTTTAAACTAATTAGTTTAATTTTTTTTCTGAGTGTACGGTTGCTTTAAAACACTTGGCATCCCTGCCGAAGTTTTTTTTTCTTCGGCAGGAGTTGGATTCTGCTTTTCGGAGCGCGTGCGGTAAAAACGAATCCGTCCACCATCAGTAAACGTCAAAGGTCTCCATTTCACCGAACGCACAAAAGAAGAACACGCGGAAGAAAAAGAGCAAACAGCCGAGGAAAAAGCAACGAACGAAAAGAACCATCAGAAAAGCAAGCAAACTTTCGCGCACAGTACTGTTTTGTGTGGTGTGTGCGGCCATCTTTGCTTTGGGAACCCGCAGTCAGCAGAGAGGCTCGTCGGATCGTCACGCGAACGAACGAAGAAAAAACGGATCACATTCCGTTCCGCGAAACAGTTTTAGGGAACCTGCGTTGGTGCTGGCTGACCGCAGCCACAGTGTACCGAATTCCGGGTGAGTTTCGTGCCGTGTGGGTTGGTGAAATTTCCGAGTGCGCTGTGAAATTTTCGTGTCAAAATGAATACCTAGCTGCGATTCGCGAAACGGGTTTTGCAAGCGAAAGCGACTCCGGAAGGTTGTTTCGCTGGTGCTTGTCCGGAAGTGTGTAGTGCGGAACAGGAGGATTAGTTTTTGTTTTTTTTATTCCGGGCCGTGGGATCGAGATGTACTTGGGTGTGATTTGATAATCGATTCCCGGAATAGTGCTAGCGGCTGTGGTGTGCATTGATTGATGGAAAATTACTCGTCGTCATTCCGTGCCTTCCGGGGAGCATCAGACCCCGCTAGCAGTGCTACGCTTTGTTTGTGTCTCAAAGCACGAAAGTAATATTTTCCCGTCTCAAAGTGAATGATTTCTGCTTCTTTTTTAGCGCGGTAGCTTTCGTGACCCGAAAAAATTGCGTTCCAAAGTTTCTCACGACCCGTTTTCCCTCAAGGTGCGGGGAAAGCCAGCGCAGACCATATTATTCATGCGAATCTCTTTGTGTTGCCTTTCTGTTGTCTATTAATCCAGTTTCATCATCGCCGTCACCACCATCGTCATCCGTTTCTGCTTGTGTCGTGTTTGACCGGTCGGAGCGTCCAGAGGATCTGAGTCCGGAAGGGGCGCCTCGCTGGTGGATGGCCTCGGGGGAGCCGGAGAAGGCGTTGGTAGAAGAAGAGGAGGAAGCACAAACGGAACGGAGAGGTTGAAATACGCGAAAGTGAAAAAATCATAACAGCACGCGTATGAGGAAAACAAGTCGTCGCAAAAAGCGCAAGAAAGAGGAACGAAGTTCAATGATTGTTGTTGTCGACGGCGACGTTTGCGAGTTTTATTCATGTGTAATTGTAGCAGAAAGTAACACGACTTAAGCCAGTAGAGTGAGTGAGGTTGTTGGTGAGGAACGGACGAAAGCCTTGGACTGACAGTCAATCCTCACCACAAAGGTGTGCTGATGATGATGACGATGACGATGACGACGACGACGATGATGATGATTATTGTGGTGGAAATTCGCTGAATCGCAGTTCTTCTAATTTCTGTTTTCTTCGTGAAACGAAAAGTGTAATAAGAGTAAGCCGAATTGGTTATCCAGAGAGAGAAAAACAAATTGAGAGGAAGAACCGTTTTTTAGGCTGCCTGCGCTTGGATACATAGGGTAAGTAAACACTTTCTGTTCAGTTATTGTTCATTCCTACTTCGAGTTTGGTTGAAGAGCACAAGAGCAAAGGGGGGAAAAGGATTACCGCAGGAATGTGTTGCAACACGTGACCGGTGGAAAGTAGTACTGGCTGCTAGACAATGAATGTCCGTTTAAATGGCTTTTCTGGTGTCGCATTTACAGCATAATTACTGGAAGGTGATTAACCCCAGGAACGCCTACAATGTTGATGTTCGCGTTCTTCCTATGTCGCAATCATAAAACACGTAAGTTGCCGGAATTTTTGACCTTTTGTTTTCTAGGTTGGTAAGAAAGAGTTGATCTATTCCACGTGATTAAGAACCGTTTGTTGAATGTGCATGCATTCAAGTTTTAGGTTCTTCCTTTGAAATTTGAATTTGAATAGACGGAAATTGTAGAACATAGACTATTAGTACAAATTTTGAAGTTTTTTTCATGAATATTTTTTTAATTTTAATCTAAACATATTTGTTTAGAAAATATAAATATTGCGCAAAAAAAAGTTCAAACATTTTTACTTAAGTTCATGAAACATAAATTTAAAAAAACTTTACAATGTATTTTTTGTTGTTATTGATGTTTTTAATCGTTTTTGTTTTGTTTTCATATTTTGACGAAAATTTGTGATTTTGTTTATTGTGAGTTTTTTTTTTTATAAATAGAAAATCCAGTTTCCTACAACTTTGCCTGGACGTCAATGTACCAGCGATGAGATTCATTTGAAAATTTTTGTCTCTGGCTTCCCTCTTTTTGAGGTAAATTCAGGCTAATGACAAGTCCTATACCAAAAGCAGCGTTTGACAGTAGGCAGCATGTCCCGGGCTCAAATCGTTTATTTTGCTGTGCTGGGCCCGCTGTCACGGTATAACATGTTGCCTACGCGCCTGCCACTGGGCGGGTAAATGACTAGAAAATCGAACTTAAAAACAAGGGAATCGAACCTTCCGAGGTGGTATTGTTAACATCGTCAAAAACAGGTGGTAACGCACTTTACTTGTTTCAGTTCGCTAAGGGTTCCGTCAAGTTGCAGGAGCTTAGAAAAACTAGATCGCTATTCAACGTCATCGTCAGCTGGCATGTGTACATTCGAAAAAAGGCTGACGCCGCTTCTCAGGTGCCAACACTTTGGACACGGCATGCGAAACTGTAACCTTCAAGCTAAATGCGTGAAGTGTGGTGAGTTTTAACAACACACAGCAGTGCCGATTACCGGCAAAAGCGAACACAACATCAAAAGTTCGTTGTGCCTATTGTAGCCAGACTCACGTTCAACAAGTCAGTACTTCCATCTACGATGTGCTGTCTGCAATAACGATTCCTGGTGAATCTTACGCAGATGTTGTCAAGAATAGTTCAGGAACAACCGAGGATCAGGTTCCACGAAACTCGCTATTTACTGTCGAGCAGTTCATGAAATTAGCAAATGCAGGGTGGCCAAATTAGCGTTAATTTGATTAGTCTACATGGTGATCTTTTGCCATTTTGCTGAAAGAAGTGTTACTACTACCTCAAGCTACAACAAATTTACACACTTAGAAATTTTTACAGAAATCTGTAATCTGAAAACAGTTTCGCAGATTTCCTGTAATTTTTCACAAATATCTGTGATTTTTTCACAGATATTTGTAAATAATTACAGGAAAACTGTAAAATTCTTTACCGAACGTACAGCTGTTGAGATTTCGGTAAAATTTTACAGAAATCTGTAAAATAATCTTAGTGTGTAAACAGCACTTTTCAGTGCTCGATTTACCTGTAAATTTTCTACCCTTTTTGACTCTTATTCCTCTTCGATCCTTGTTTGGACCCTACCCGATGTAATCCTTCGGATTCTTATAGTAATCTGCTTGGAAGTCAATCGATAGATAAAAAAATTTACTGCCACAAAAGCGCAAAAGAAAAGGGCAATCTCTTGATCCCCTTTCTGATGAAATTAATTTGAGCAATCAATTTGATTTTCTCCCGGATGATGAGAATGATCCATCATCCAGGAAAAATTCTAGTAAACTTTCCCGGCTTAATGCCAAGATGGAGAAGATTCCCCCTATCGCACGGAACTTTTGAACTTCGTGAAATTTAAGTTTTCACTGCAAATTGGCCGTCGGGGTGAATGGCGTGTATTGGCTGAAACCTTGGACGGATCCAAATGTCTTCTCAAGTATCTTACTGAGAGCTGCATACAAGACGCTGATTAGACCGGTGGTCCTCTACGGCCACGAGACCTGAACTATGCTCGTGGAGGACCAATGCGCCATTGGTGTTTTCGAACGGAAGGTGTTGCGTACCATCTACGGTGGAGTGCAGATGGATGACGGAACGTGGAGAAGGCGAATGAACTACGAATTGGACCAGCTGCTGGGAAAACCATCCATCGTCCACATTGCAATAATTGAACGACTGCGGTGGGCTGGGCACGTCGTAAGAATGCCGCACGACGACCCAGTGAAAATGGTTCTAGAAAGGGAACCAACAGAAACAAGAAGAAGAGGCGCGCAGCGGGCAAGATGGATCGACCAAGTAGAAGGCGACCTGCGGACCCTTCGCAGACTACGAGGTTGGCGAAGTGTGGCCATGGATCGAGTAGAGTGGAGACGACTTCTTAAATAAAATTTATTTCTTCTCTAACCACTACCAAAGACAGACGTCTTTAGCTACTCTCTACAGGTTATGGGCCTGTCGTGAAAGAAGAAAGAAAAATGAGTACGAGTTCGAATTCCAACGGAGTTTCTCAAGGCGGTTCCTCAAGTATTCCTTCCATCGAGAGGTTGACTGGACGGGACAACTGGTTCTCATGGAAGTTCGCAGCGAAAACTTTTCTTCAGCTGGAAGGACTCTGGGATGCAGTGAAGCCGAAGCAGAAACCAGACGGAGCATTCGGACCGGTGGATGTGCAGAAGGATCTGCGAGCGCGGTTGAAACTGATCTTGCTTCTCGATCCGCTAATCTATGTGCATATTGAGAACGCGGAATCGGCTGCATGCTGCATGGACCAAGTTGGAAACGGCATTCGAGGACAAAGGACTTTCTCAGCAGATCGGTTTGCTCCACAAGCTCATCAAGCCGGATCTGGATTCGTGTGGATCAATGGAAGAATACGTGAACCAGGTAATTTCGACAGCACACCAGCTGAACGGCATCGGTTTCAAGCTTCCGGATCTCTGGATTGGTATGATTTTGTTGGCTGGCCTCCCGGATGAATGAAGCAGCCTACTTCATCCAAGGGCCCGAAATGCAGAAAATGTGCTCGGTACGGACACATCGCCAGGGACTGCAAGGATTCAAGGAAAGGTGAAACATTTTGCACGGTTCTATCTACGTTTGGCAAGAAGGATGCGAACGACTGGATTTTCGATTCTGCGGCGTATGCACATATGACGAGCAATCAAGAGCTCCTCACAAATCTGGATCAAGCAGATGGTAAGGTTGTTGCAGCTAACGGTGGCATGATGGATATCGTTGCCTACGAAACGGCAAATCTTCGATCGGTGTTCAAGACAACGTTGCAGGGAGTGACGTGCAGTTTATTCCTGAGTTGACGGCGAATCTTCTCTCGGTCAGCAGAATCGTGCAGAAGGGGTATTCCGTAACTTTCAACAACGATGGCTGCAAAGTGCACAACGCAAACGACGAGCTGGTGGCAACTGGAAGCCACTCCAACAATCAATTCAAGCTGGACCAGGCGGCGAATAACACACGAGTTTTATCGTGTAATGCTGCTGGAAGTCTGATCTCTGGCACAAACGCATGGGTCATCTTGGTGTCGGAAATTTGAAGAAGCTTGCTGGTGGCCTTGCGACAGGGATTACACTGATACACTGATTTCACTGAATGTTGAAGCTAGCGCTGCAGACTGTCGCGTTTGCCCTATGGGAAAGCAGTCGAAATTGCCGTTTCCAAAAAGCGGATTCTGTGCGTCGGAGGCATTACAACTGGTTCATTCGGATATCAGTGGACCGATGGAGATGGATTCGATGGGCGGTAATCGGTTCTACATTACTTTCATCGATGACAAAACTAGACGCATGTTAGTCTACTTCCTGAAAACCAAATCAGAAGCCGAGGTGTTAGCAGTTTTCAACTACTTCCACGTGATGGCCGAACGTCAAAGTGGCAAGAAGCTGAAAACAATACGGACTGACAATGGTAAGGAGTATCTGAACAATGGTTTCCAAGGTTATTTGAAGAAAGAAGGCATCCGACACGAAACGACCAACGATTACACTCCCGTGCAAAACGGATTGGCTGAGCGCGCCAATCGGACCATCGTCGAGAAAGCGCGGTGTCTCCTATTCGAATCCAGGCTTTCGAAAGGCTTCTGGGCCGAGACTGTGTCAACAAAGGTTACTCACAGCGAAAGGGGGTAGACTACGATGAAACGTATGCTCCCGTTGTTCGCTATAGTTTGCTGCGATACCTGTCAAGCAGGACCTCACGATCGACCAGATGGATGCAGTGACGGCTTTCCTGCAGGGTGACCTCGACGAGGAAATATACATGGAACAGCCCCCATGCTTCGTTGACGGAAGAAGGAAGACCGAGGTGTACAAGCTGAACAAGGCGTTGTACAGCTTGAAGCAGTCCAGCCGAGTTTGGAACCACAAACTGGATGTGGCGATTTGTCCTGGTTTCAACGCAATACGATCCTTTCGTCTACGTCTGCATTAAAAATGGCAAAATTCTTATTGTTGTTATTTATGTAGTCGATTTAATGATATTCAGCAACTACGAGACATGGAAAAATATGTTGAAGCAACAGCTAAGCAACACTTTCCGGATGAAAGATCTGGGACCTGCGAAACACTGTCTTGGGATCCGGATCGGCAGAACAACTGACAGGATAACGTTGGATCAAGAAGCCTACATCGAAACGATTTTGAAGCGGTTCAACATGGATCGGTGCAAACCAGTAAAGGTACCGATGAACACTAGTGAGAAACTTTCCAAGGATGCGGGCCCGAAGGATGACGAGGAATCTG